GTTAATCTTTGGATTTTGATTGCTTTAATTTTGCCAGTATGCTTTGTGTCTCTCTAAGAAAGGCTTACAGTAAAGCAGCATTTTCTATGTTTGTATAGCAATCTCTAAGTTTGTTGGATTATGGGCCCAGAATCTCCTCCAGGAGTTACTTCATTTGGTCATTTTATAATATTATGGTCATAGTATTTATAATATTATGGTAATAGTATGGTCATTTTAATAATATTGATTCTTCCTATCCATGAGCATGAAATGTTCTTGCTTGCAGAGGGCAGCCATGTTACAGTGTGACCTTGCTTCTGCTACTTTGCCTGAGAAAGAACTTGACCCAAAAGAGCCAATGAGTCTTTTCTCCAAGATTTTTGAATTTGAAACTGAAAGAAAATTTGGCCAATTTTGCTTGTGTACCTGGTTTTTGGGTGAATTATAACGTGCAAGAACTGTTAATAGCTTTTCTTGCCATATATGAGTGAAAGAAGGCTGGGTTTTACCAAGAAAAAGAAGAATAAAGTGGGAAGGAGAAAGAGAGGAAAAGTCCTGAGAGCATTTGTGTCCTTGGGTCTTGCTGTCTCAAATCCAATCAGATTCCTGAATTTAGGCTCCATAAGACATTCTATATTCCCTCTTTTAAAAAAATTATTTTAGGTTCAGAGGTACAAGTGTAGGTTTGTTACATAGGTAAACTTGTGTCATGGGAGTTTGTTGTACACATAATTTTATCACTAAGGTATTAAGCCTAGTATCCATTATTTATTTGTCCTGATCCTTTCCCTCCTCTCACCCTCCACCCTCTGAAAGGCCACAGAGTGTGATGCTCCCCTCTATGTGTCCATGCGTTCTCATTATTTAGCTCCCACTTATAAGTGAAACATGCAGTACTTGGTTTTCTGTTCCTGTGTTAATTTGCTAGGGATAATGGCCTCCAGCTCCATCCACATCCCTACAGAGGACATGATTTTGTTCTTTTTTATGGCTACATAGTATTCCATGGCATATATATGTTAATACTGCATTTTCTTTAACCAGTTAACCAATGATAATTGATGGGCATTTAGGTTGATTTCATGTCTTCACTATTGTGAATAATGCTGCAATGAATGTATATGTGCATCATGTGTCTTTGTAATAGGTGGGTATATACCTAGTCATGGGATTGCTGGGTCTTTGGTATTTCTGTCTTTAGGTGTTTGAGGAATTGCCACACTGTCTTCCACAATGGGTGAACTAACTTATACTCCCACCAACACTGTATAAACATTCCATTTTCTCCACAACCTTTCCAGTATCTTATTTTCTAAATTTTTAATAATAGGTATTCTGACTGATGTGAGATGATATCTCATTGTGGTTCTTATTTGAATTTTTCTAATGATTGCTGATGTGAGCTTTTAAAAATATGATTGTTGGCCACATGTATGTCTTGTTTTGAAAAGTGTGTGTTCATGCCATTTGATTATTTTTATATTTTTTTCTTATAAATTTATGTAAGTTCCTTATAGATGCTAGATGTTAGACCTTTGTCAGATGCATATTTTGCTGCAAAAATTGATTCTGATTCAGTAGGTTGTCTGTTTACTCTGATAATAGTTTCTTTTGCTGTGCAGAAGCTCTTTTGTTTAATTAAATCCTTCTTGTCAACTTTTGCTTTTGTTGCAGTTGCTGTTGGCATCTTCATCATAAAATCTTTGCCTGTGCCTATATCCTGAATCATATTGCCTAGATTGTCTTCCAGTGTTTTTATAGTTTTGGGTTTTACATTTAAGTCTTTAATCCATCTTGAGTTGATTTTTGTGTATGGTGTAAGGAAGGGACCCAGTTTCAATCTTCTGCATATGGCTAGTCAGTTATCCCTGCATCATTTATTGAATGAGGAATCCTTTCCACATTTCTTGTTTTCATCAGGATTGTCAAAGATCAGATAGTTGCAGGAGTGTGGTCTTATTTTTGGGTTCTCTATGCTGTTCCATTGGTTTATATGTCTGTTTTTGTACCTGTACCATGCTGTTTTGGTTACCGTAGCCCTGTAGTATAGTTTAAAGTCAGGTAGCATGATGCCTCCAGCTTTGTTCTTTTTACTTAGGATTGCCTTGCTATTTGGACTCCTCTTTGATTTCAAATGAATTTTAAAATAATAGTTTTCTCTAGTTCTGTGAAGAATGTCAATGGTAGTTTAATGGGAATAGCATTGAATCTATAAATTGCTTTGGGCAGTATGGTCATTTTAATAATATTGATTCTTCCTATCCATGAGCATGAAATGTTTTTCCATTTGTTTCTGTACTCTGTAACTTCTTTGAAGAGTAGTTTGTAGTTTTTCTTATAAAGACCTTTTGCCTCCTTAGTTAGCTGTATTCCTAAGTATTTTATTCTTTTTGTGCAATTGTGAATGGGAGTTTGTTCCTGATTTGGCTCTTGGCTTGACTGTTGTTGGTTTATAGGAATGCTAGTGATATTTGCACATTGATTTCATATCCTGAGATTTCACTTAAGTTGTTTATCAGCTTCAGAAGCTTTTGGGCTGAGACTAATTGGTTTTCTAGATATGGGATCATGTCTTCCACAAACAGGGGTAGTTTGACTTCTTCTATTCCTCTTTGGATGCCCCTTATTTCTTTATCTTGCGTGATTGCCCTGGCCAGAACTGCCAATACTATGTTGAATAGGAGTGGTGAAAGAGGGTATCCTTGTTCTGTGCCAGTTTGCAAGGAATGCCTCTAGCTTTTGCCCATTCAGTATAATGTTGGCTGTTGGTTTGTCATATAAGGCTTTTATTATTTTTAGGTATGTTTTTTCAAGACCTAGCTTATTGAAAGTTTGCAAAATGAAGGGATATTGAATTTTATTGAAAACCTTTTCTACATTGTTTGAGATAATCATGTGCTTTGTGTCTTTAGTTCTGTTTATGTGATGAATCACATCTATTTATTTGTGTATGTTGAACCAAACTTGCATCCTGGGGATGAAGTCTCCCTAACTGTGGTGGATAAGCTGTTTGATGTGCTGCTGAAGTCAGTCCGTCAGTATTTTGTTGAAGACTTTTGCATCAATGTTAATAAAGGATTTTGGCCTGAAGTTTTCTTTTTTTTGTTGTTGTTTTTTTGTTTTTGTTTTTTGTTTTTTGTTTTTTGTTTTTTGCTGTATCTCTGCCAGGTTTGGGTATCAGAATTATGCTGGCCTAGTAGAATGAGCTGGGGAGGATATCCCACTTTTCAGTTTTTTGGAATAGTTTTAGTAGGAATGGTACCAGCTCTTCTTTATACCTCTAGTAGAATTTAGCTGTGAATCCATCTGGTCCTGGGGTGTTTCTGGTTGGCTGACTATTTATTACTGCCTCAAATTCAGAACTCATTATTGGTCAGTTCAGGGATTCAATTTCTCCCTGGCTCAGTGTTGTGAGGGTGTATGTGTCCAGGAATTTATCTGTTTTTCTAAATTTTCTATGTGCAGAGAGGTGTTCAAAATATTCTCTGATGGTCGTTCATATTTCTTTGGAGTCAATGGTAATGTAGACTTGTCATTTCTGATTTGGTTTATTTGAATCCTCTCTCTTTTCTTCTTTGTTAGTCTAGCTAGTGTTCTATCTTATTAATATTTTCAAAAAATCAACTCCTGGATCCATTGATCCTATAAATTGTTGTTCATGGTTCTAATTTTGGTTATTTCTTGTCTCCTGCTATCTTTGGGATTTGTTTGCTCTTGGTTTTCTGGTTCTTTTTGTTGTCGTGTTAGGCTGGTATGTTGTATCTTTGTTCTCATTAGTTTTGTTGAACTTGATTTCCGCCTTAATTTCATTATTTACCCCAAAGTCATTCAGGAGTGGGTTATTCAATTTTCATGTAATTGTATGGTTTTGAGTGAATATCTTAGTCTTTATTTCAAATTTGATTGTGCTGTGGTCTGAGAGAGTGTTATGATTTCAGTTATTTTGCATTTGCTGAGGAGTGTTTTACTTCCAATTATGTGATTGGTTTTAGAGTAAGTGCCACGTGGTGAGGAGAAGAATGTATAACCTGTTGTTTTTGAGTGGAGAGTTCTGTAGATATCTATCAGGTCCATTTGATCTAGTGCTGAGTTCAGATGCTGAATATCTTTATTAGTTTTATGTCTCAGTGATCTGTCTAATATTGTCAGTGGGGTGTTAAAGTTTCCCATTATTATTGTGTGTGAATCAAAGTCTCTGTGAAGGTCTCTAAAAACTTGCTTTATGAATTTGGATGTTCCTTTATTGGTTACATGTGTATTTGGGATAGTTAGATATTCTTGTTGAATTAAAGCCTTTATCACTGTATAATGCCCTTCTTTGTCTTTTATGATCTTTGTTGGTTTAAAATCTGTTTTGTCAGGAACTTAGATTGCAACCCCTGCTTTTTTCTGTTTTCCATTTGCTTGGTAGATTTTCCTCCATCTCTTTATTGTAGTCTATATGTGTCTTTGCATGTGAGATTAGTCTCTTGAAGACAGCATACTGATGATTCTTGGTTCTTTATCCAGGTTGCCACTCTGTGTCTTTTAATTTGGGGGATTTATCTTATTTACATTTAAAATTAGTGTTGTTATGTGTGGATTCGTTCCTGTCACCATGATGTTAGTTGGTTATTTTGTAGATTTGTTTATGTGGTTGCTTTATAGTTTCACTGGTCTGTATACTTCAGTGTGTTTTTGTAGCAACTAATAATGTTGTCTGTCAGTTTCTGCAATGTTTTATCATGATTTTTAGGTTCCTTGCATTGGGTTACAATGTACTCTTTTAGCTCAGTAAATTTTGTTCCTATCCATATTCTGAATTCTACTTCTGTCATTTTAGCCATCTCGGCCTCATCCCAGTCCTAAACCCTTGCTGGAGAGGTGATGTGGTCATTTGAAGGAAAGAGGGCACTCTGGCTTTTTATGTTTTCAGCATTCTTGTGCTGATTCTTTCTCATCTTTGTGGGCTTATCTACCTTCAATCTTTGATGTTGCTGACCTTTGAATGGATTTTATTTTTTTCTTTTAACAGTCTGACCCCTTTTCCATAGGGCTGCTACTGTATCCTAGGGGTCCACTCCAGTCCCTGGTTACCTCGAATTTTCCAGTACCTGGATGTATCACCAGTGAAGGTTATGAAACAGCAAAAATGGCAGCCTGCACCCTCCTCTGGGAGCTCCATCCCAAGAAGGTATGGAGCTTTTGTCAGCCTGAGTGGACCTGTAGGAGGTGGTTGGAGACCCTAGATGGGAGGTCTCACCCAGTCAGAAGGAATGGGATCAGCGACCTGCTTTAAAAAAAGTAGTTTGGCCATGTTTTCTTAGAGCAGCTGTGTTGTGCTGGAGGTCCACTTCAGCCCCCACCCCCTCCCTCACCTGTCACCTTGGACACTCTGAAACCCAAGGGCTGGAACAGCTAAGTTACTGAAACAGCAAAGATGAAGGCCAACCCCTTCTCCTGTGAGCTCCATCCTGGGGACACCCAAAACCTCTATCAGCTGAACACCAGTGGGAATGACCAGAGACCCTGGCTGGGAGAGTCCACCCAGTGATGAGGAACAGGGTTGGGAACAGGTTTGGAACCACTTAAAGAAGCAGTCTGGTCACATTTTCATGGAGGCACCGTGCCATGCTGGGGTATCACCTCCACCTGCTGTCAGCTTGGACTCTCCAAGCCCAAAGGCTGGAACTGCAAAGTTGCCTGAACAGCAAATATGGAGGTCTGCCCCACCCTCTGGGAGTTTTATCCCAGGGAGTTTTCAAATTTCTGTAGACTGGAGAACACTGGTGGGGGTGGCTGGAGACCCCAGTTGGGAGGTTCTGTCCAGTGAGAAGGAAGGGGATTTGGAACCTGATTAAAAAAGCAGTGTGGCCACACTTTTATAGAGTAGCTGTGCTATGCTAGGGTACTGCTTCCAAAGCCCACAGGCTGGAATGGCTAAGTTGCCCAAACAGCATAAATGGTGGCCTGACATTCTATATTCCTTATAGACATTATCCCTTTTTATTAATCCAGTTCTTTATTTTTCATTTTTAACCAAAAGTATTTCAGTTAAAATATCATAGAACTGCCTTTGTTTTTCTCAGAGAATTTTATGGAATTAATGTTACATGAAACTTATTTTGGATAATGTTGGCTATTAAATGGTAAAAATCAAACAAAAGGGACAGCCTCTCCCAATCTCATCCTGTGACAAATTGGACAAAATTCTGGTTCTTCTAAATTCCTAATCTATGGTACATTATCAGTTTTATTTTATATGTACATGTTTCTAAACATAATCATTAAATTTAGAGCTTTAGGACACCTTGGAAATGATGTAATTGAACTTTTAAATTTTACTTAAAAAGAAATGTAAATCCATTTCTTTTTAAGTCAGTGTTTTCCTCATGATTACACAGATGAATGGCAATTACCTCAACCGTGCATTTTCCATACATTGCAAACCATAGCATCCCTATTAATAAGGAGTCTCTTTGTGCAAAAACACCTTAGTGAATCTCTCCTTATCCTGCTTGTTTGCAGGAAGTGATGTTTGTAACATTCTAGGTACTTCTTAGAGGTCCACTGCTTTCCCAGTACTTTCTAGTTCCCACTTCATCCTATCCGGATCATGGTGACAACTGTAGCAGTCACTTAAGATACAGAAGTGGAAACCACAGTTGAGATAGAGCTGCCTCCACCACAGAGTCACTGGACAACCTCAGGAATCAGGGTCCATTATAAAAGACAAATTAACCTTTGCCTTTTCTGAGCCATTGCACTTTGGCTGTCTCATTACTGTTACTTTTCTTATACCCTAATTAATATGCCCTGAAAATAAATCCTTATGAATTTGTTGTATGATTAAATTATATATTTACAGCACTTAGAAAAGGCAGGTAAACAAAGTCAGTGTTGAATAAAAAATAACTGTTATTATTCGATTTATTATTTAATTCAGAGATAAATTAGCTCAAATTGAAGACTAAAAGATTGTGGAAGTATAATTGCTATTTAATTTGTGTTAATCTTTCAAGTTGTTGTGGCATATATTATAAGACAAGAAGGAGTAAAATTTCCCATTTACTACCTTACCAGAGATGGTGTAATATGGGGAAGTTTCACATAGGAAGGTGAAAGAGTAATCTGCTTGCTTAATTCTCCAATAACCACGAAGAAGGATAGCAATTAGTGCCCAAATGAGCAATGACTTTATATCTGGGATGGTGCCCAAAAGGTGATGGCCCAAGATGATCCACTCATTCAGGCTTCTGAACTATCACTAGGATTTTGCTTTTTACTAATGTCATTTTCAAAATAGGCAGATAGTCTATCCCTGCCAACAAATTCAATTTCAAAAAGAAAAGAATAATGAAGATTAAAAACCAAAACAAAACAAAGAGTGGGGAGGGGAAGTATATATTCTCTATTGAAATTAAGTTTTATTTTATTTTTTAATTTTAAGTGAGATCCAAAGTGCCTTTGTACTGACATGTGAAATAATCTGCTCTTTTGTGATTGACTAATGAATATCACACAGTGGTAATGGACAGGAAGACAAAGACAACCTCAGAAATAGGTCCTGTGAACCTCACTCGATGCAGAGGTCACTGGCTTTGCTAGAAAACTCAGTGGTTACAGAATGATTACTGGGGAAATGCCTCCCAATTCTTGAGTCAATGCAGATCTGGACAGGGATATATAAAGACATTATTAATTTGGATGAAAGTTTTGTTTTTGCCAATATATCTTTTATTTGGCTCCGGATAAGACGGTTGTTCAGAGCTTTTTGAAAGATCTTAAGTATGCTATTTATTAGAGAAATATTCATTTAATCAAATAACACTCACTTTATAGAGGAAGAAATATTCCTCTGCTTTGAGGGCCATAGGTCATACATTGGAGTATGGCTTTGGTCACTGACAATGCTGACATGATGGGGAGTTTTTTTCTTCTTCCCTTATGAGGATTCTTTTCTGTAATCTCTGGCTACATTAGAAACTTCACTGCTTAACAGAAACAATTGTTCTTTGTTCTCATGGCCAAATGAAAGCTCTTGTTTCCAGTCCAGCTCTGCTGGCAGGTTAGATGCAATCAGGGGTGTCATCAAGGGAAGATGAGAATATGCAGAATACAACCACTTGTTGTTTTTAGAGGCAAAATGCCCACATTTTTGGCAAAGTCAAAGCTAAGCTCATGTGAGAGAAAAGAAGGCTAAATTATGGATCTTTCAATGTGATGGTTAATGCTTTGCACAAATTCAAAGTAAGAGTTGAGAAGTTCGACACTTCTGACCACTTTTATAAGACAGACATCTTCACAGGCAGGCTTAGACATTTTTACATGTTTCAGAAACTCGGAGCTTAAAATGTGATGCATCAAACATATGCATAATGCCAACACCTTAGAGTTCATGTATTTATTCAAGAATCTTTCATTTGATGTCTGCAGTAGAAAGCCTATCATAAAATGATTTGTGGAATATCCTACTAAAAAAAATGGCTGAAAGAATGTAGAGGAATCTCTTTTGTTGCAAGTTTGAGGATTTTTAACTAGATTACTATCACACTAGGCTAGGTCTTTCCCTCTTCACAAACACTCCATTTTTCATAATATTGATTAGCCTGCTGCTGAAATAGCTCTCTGGTTCTTTGGTCATTGTTTATGAATTATCTCCATACAGTGAGGTAGCACCTACTTTTGTGATGTAGATTAGGGTTAGGGAATCAGTATAATTCATTTTTGTATTTGTGATTCCTAACTGCACCTGAGAGTCGAAAAAATTAAGAAAGAGGCTAAAATCGAATTCAGAAAAATCCCTCCATGGCTGATAGGTATTGCTAGAAGCTGTGTCACTAGTGTTTTCAAAGATATGTGTCTGGTACAAGTGCAGAGAGAGACGACAGGCTGAATCAGTTGCAGTTCTAGAATGTGAGCTGGCCAGGGAACCATTACAGAGAAGGGCGGGTCACTGAGGAAACCAATGAAAGAGGAAATTTGAAGGAAATGGACATCCTCTTTAATTGGAGCAGTGTTTGAGGGCTGAGAAAAAATCTGTTAAGAGTACTGAGGGAGAGAAGAGTCTCAGGGGAATTGTGAGGCAAAAAAGTTATCTTCAAACAGAAAAATTTCAAAAGTATACATTTAACCATCTGGAGTTTTTTTAAAAAAGGAACATTTATTCTGTCTTTTGAAAGGAAAGACTTGACATTTAATTGCATTTTTATCCCCCAGGAAGAACGCATCTTCAGCTTAATTATTCTCCACAGGAAAAATCTGTGTGTGTGTATGTGTGTGTGTGTGTGTGTGTGTGTGTGTGTTCCATATGCTTAGTATGCACTAAACACACATTTTAGCAAAGTTCTATTGGCATGACAAACTAGAGGCAGGCACACACACACATACACACACAAGTAGATGATGTATGTGTGCTTCCAGAATGTTTTTTAAAGCTTAGTTCACGGCTGTAATGAACAATGCTGATTTGGAACAAACCAAAATTCTGGTGGGGTGCTTTGCTGAAAACACTGATTCTTAACATACAACATGGATTCAATATTGACACATCTATTAGTGCTGGCAAGTAGAGTATCATGATTCTGTTAGAAAAAGTAATAGCATCAAGGATCAGCTAAAAGTAGCCATCATGGCATTTTTATCTAAGTTGGTTCAGTGATACTTGTGTTGTAGTCTTATGAGGATTAGTTGAGTCAATGCATTTGAAAGTGCTCTTAGAAGTAGTAAATTTCTATGCAAATGCATGGCACATATATGAGTTGTGTATAAAGGTATTATGATATGACAAAGTCTCTGAGAAAGCATATATATGATACTGATACTAAACTTCAAGTCAGGAATTGGAAAAATGTGTTCCAGGCTCTGGGAGATGTTCTTAGATCAAATGATTTTTTTAGTAAAAATTTATGTAAAATGGTCAGCTGATTCAGGATTAAACATGAAAACACAGTATAATGGGTTTATGTTTTGGTTTAAAAGGACCATTTATTCAATTTTGTTGGTTAGTTTATTCATATGTTTGAGATCTGGCAATGGATGTAATGTGGGTTCCAGAAGAGGCTACCATACATATATTGGATTCCATTAGAATTTAAGAAATTTAACAATAAAAGCACAAATAAATGATTATATGTAAACTACATATAATAAATAATGTATATAACTAATATATGTAAACTACTTGTAATAAATAAATATAATAAATTTAAAATATTATAACCAAGAAAAAATAAATAAATAGTATAAACCAAAGGATAAAAATAGAATGAATATAGATGGACAACAAGGGCTTACAGGATTATGATTAAATCACAAATTTGTGTAATTTTTCAACTTACAAAGTAAATGCAATAAATGTTATTTATAGAAAATGTTGAAAACACAGAAAGCTAGAAAAAGAGAAAAGAAAATCTATAATTTCTCTAGCTAGAAGTAACTATAAACATTTTGATACTTATTGTTCCAGCCATTTTGTTATCTATGAATACAAAACTTTACATACAAATATGAGCCGTTAGTCACGTATTTTTTTTCACATTGCAATATATGTGACCATTTTCCATGACCTTAATAATTATTTGAGAAATAATTTTAAATGGTTGCATATTCTTGTTTGTGTAACCATCATTTACTCAAACAATATGTAATATTAGACATACGTTGTCTCCAAGATTTTGCTGTTATCAGGGTTACTACTCTTACCATATTTGTGTATGACTAATTATTTACTTGAAAAAATTTTCTAAAAAATGACAGAAATTTTGACTGAGTCAAAAGTCACAAAGAGTTGGAAAGCTCTGGGCTTCAGCTGTGTGAATATTGGCTCTCTCACTTCATGTCTCTGTGATTTTGAGTAAGTTAACATCTCTGAGCTTAAGTTGATCTGAAATTAGAGATTATAATGATAACTTCTTCATGAGTTTGTTGTGAGGGTTACTTTGATATTAAATAGGTGTAGTAAGCACTCTTCTTGGCATTCAATGAATGTTAGCAGTTACTATTAATTAGACTATTACTTTATGGTAATCAGTAATAGTAATCAGTGTTTTCAGCAAAGCACTTTGGGGACCACCAGAATTTTGGTTTGTTCCTAATTAGGATTGTTCATTATAACCATAAACTAAGATTTAAAAAAATTCTGGAAGCACACATACATCATCTACTCATGTGTGTGTATGTCTCTAATTTGTGATGCCAATAGAACTTTGCTAAAATGTGTGTTTAGTGCATACTAAGCATATGGAACAGACAGATGGACAGTGCCCCCCCAACACACACACACACAAAAGTAATGTTATCATTACTTTTAATGGTGAAAACTGCAATTATTTTTGCACCAAACCTAATGCAATCATTATGTCTCAACATTGCCCTTTGGAAATGTTGTGTCACTTAAAACTATTATCATTTCTATCTCAGAATACATCTTGAAAATTCTTAATACAACAAAGATGTGAACTCATTGTCATATATGGTATAAATATTATTCTAGTATTTCACTTGCATTCTAATTTTTTAGACATTTTATTTGTGTGAGTCAAGTCTGTTTATATTTACACAGCCAATGATAGACCAATGCTTGGCTACAAATACTTGAATCCAACACATATGTGGTGATGTTGACATTCCTTTGTGAAAATTAAGGCCCAAGACAAGGCTCCACATATATTTATTTGTTTGTGAGATGGAGAAACTGCATCAAGACTTGTGAGCATAGTAAGGATTTTGCTCAAGAAATATTTCTGAATGTGTTTCAGAATTTGAATGAAGGTTTGCTCAAATCTCCAGAGTTCCACTTGTTAAATTAGGGCTAAGATGATTTTAGTCTGAAAATATTTGAAAGAAATGGTAAACCATTTCACACCTTCACTAGAAATAAAAAGCTCCATTTCCTTATATTAAAGATTGTTTTGCATCGCATGGCTTCTTAGTACAGGTTCTCAGAAGAATTCATTGCAAAATATGTCTTCTGGGGCTAAGTATAACATATTGACCTATCTATTTCATATGAAGAGACTAACTTGGATAATTATGCTGAAAGATTGATATTAGTTAATTTAATTCTTGAGAATAAGTATTTTTTTCTTATAATATTTCAAGACTAAGATCAATTTTCTTTTGATGCCATTCCTAATTTATGGACAATTAAATTATATTGTTAGAATTTTCAAGAATATCTATTCTATTTTCTATGGTATAAACCAAGTATCTACATAATTCCAAAGTTATTAAGAAATATGTGCGTCTACAAATTGTTTCTCATCCCTCAGGAAAATTTGTGACCTGCTTTTCCTCTGGCAGTGGTATTAAATAGCAGGTTGGTTTGAACATCAGTAACCAAAAACCTTTATTGACCTCATACAAAATATCCTACAAATAGGCTGGGCGTGGTGGCTCACACCTGTAATTCCAGCACTTCCGAAGGCCAAGGCAGACAAATCACTTGAGCTCAGAAGTTTGAGACCAGCTTGGGCAACATGACGCAACCCTGTCTCTACAAAAAAATGCAAAAATCAGCTAGACATGGTGGTGTGAGCCTGTAGTCCCAGCTACTGCAGAGGCTGTTGTGGGAGGATTGCTTGAACCTAGGAAGTCGAGGCTACAGTGAGCCATGATTGCGCCACTGCACTCCAGCCTGGGCAACAGAGCCAGACCATCCCCTGTCCCAAAAGGATAACTTACGAATAATCCAGTTCACTGAGTCCAAGGTTGAGGAGAAATCAATAAAACTGTCAAATTCTCTTATATAATTTTGAATCAATTGTGAGACAGATGACAATAAGTGTAATACAATTAAGATTGGAGTAGCTATGTTTGAAGTTTCCTTCATCTCCTTGTAAAGACCGGTCTTTAAACCCACATATACTCTGAAAATATTAAGGAAGAAACTGATGTAAGCTTTACATGCGGGCTCAGTAAACAGATTCATTCTTTTGTGGCAATGAGGATTATTACACAGATATGAACTTAGATTGCACTTATGATTAATTTCATTCGGTTTAGGACTTAATTATTCTAGATGTCTTGATTTACATATGCCAGTTTTCTTCCTGAGAAGAGTTACCACATCTTAGTCTTCCTTTATATTCCTGACATTCTTTAACAGTTTAGGACCCCTTTTAAGTTGTTAATAGACCTGTTGACTAATCAAAATTATTTTGCAGGTGTTCAGTATCATTTTAGGTAGAAGAGTTATCAGGTGACACTGGCTTCAGTTTCCACAATAACATCTTAACTATCAATGCAAGAAGCAATGCATAAGGCTAGACTAGATAGCCTGCTCTCCTGTGCTGACATTGGACACACCTTGGGAAAAAAGTAGATATTTTTTTCTGGTGACATTTGGACTCCTCTGAGTTTTAGGCTTTTTGCTGGAAAGAATGAGAGGAACTGTTTCTTAGAATTGAAAACCTAGACTTTTACCTTTAATCAACCTTAGGGTCTGTTCTCTTGATATTTACTCAATCCCTTTTATACACAAACTTATTTTATCAACATACAAATCTGAAGTTATTAATATTTTAAGAAAATACATCTTTTTAAATACTGAAACTTGAAAACCACACAATCTATTTGAAAAGAAGAATGTATGTCAGGTTAAATTTCTCTCTCTTCTGGCTGATTGAAAGAAGGAAAGAAGAAAATTATAGGCTGGCATAGTAGAAAAATCAAAATTCTAACTTAAGGTTTTCTAGAAACTGAAGTTAAGAGTTGTGGGCTTTAAATAAGAAAGACAGAGAGAAAGAAGAGGAGCGAGTGTGTGTGTATTGGGTGGGAATATGGTTGGGGGATATTTTGGATTATACTTCTAACGTATGATTCAGTGTCAAAATTTGAATTTTAGGATACACATTTCATATTTTAATGAGTTTATTCAAGGCATTATATGGAATTAAATGTCTGAATTTATTATTTACAAGTCCTGTATAGCCTGACTCAAACCATTTAGTCACTTGGAGATTGTTTCCTCAATTTTAAAATGGAGAGATTGTTTGGCCAATCTGTCTCACAGGATTGTTGGAAACAGGGAAGATCACGTGTGTGAAATTTAAAAAAATACTAAAGATCCAAATAATAATGTGTTCCTTACCATTATTGTGTTTGCACTTACAGTACACACACACACAGACACACGCGCACGTGCACATATTTACATGAACTTAAAGTAGTGGCACCATACATTGAGACCAAGTCTACACAGTGACCTGGGTTATAGGAGACTGTGCCTGGAGTTTGTACAAGCTGACAACATTTTAGTGTGTGCTCACTTGTAAGCATTTACCCTGAGTAAACCTGTGACCCACCATCTAGTAGATGTTTCTGAATAGATTGTTGAGCTACTATGAGCTGTAGTTGTTGACAATCACTGGGAGGTTCTGACCCCATTAATTATGTGTTCAGCAATATAGTATTTGGCACATTAAAAACTGCTAATTATGCCCATATTTTAATCAGAATTTTCCAGTTTATTATAATTTCTTCATCATGCCCAAACTGTCGGAGTAAGCAGCTTATCTCCTAATATCTCCACTTGTCTAACAGATGTTCTCTCTCTCTCAACAGATGTTGGCACTTCCTAGGAAGGAGCCATCCATGTCTGAAGAGAAGAAATGATAATTAACTTCATCATGTGGAAAGCTTTAGAAGGAAGTAGCTTGTCCTTCTATCCAAACCCACCTCCTGCTCCTCACCCCCAATAAAAATAAAAGCCAAACAAATAAAACATTAGCAGTAGCTCTGAGTTTCTCCCTTTCACTTTTTCTCTCTCTTCATCCCTTTTCTCCTCCATTCTTTCCTTCCCTCTTTCAAATCATGTTTACTAATTTAAGAGAATAATTCAATCTATATTTAGAAATCTGACTTCAACTTCAAAAATTATACTGAAATAGCTTCCTCTTAAAGGGTGAACCAGTCATGATAAAAATAACAACCAATAGAATAAAATAATATAAAATTAGCTGAGTTTATAGTTTCTTTTACACCTCCATAATTTATGTGGATTTGGAAATACAGACAGCATACTGAAAACTAAGAAGTTTTCTATGAATTATGAGAATTTGCAATCCATATAGGCTTAAGTCTAATGTTAGAAGATAAAACAAATTGACCTTAAATAACTTTCTGACATAACCTCATTTCATGGATAAAAATCCCTAAAACTCTCATAAGTAAAGTGATTTACTTCAGGACACAAACCAGTTGATTTAGTTTGGATGTTCGTCCTCTCCAAATCTCATGTTGAAATATAATCCCCAGTGTTGGAGGTCGGGCCTGGTGGGAGGTGTTTGTGTCATGGGGCAGATCCATTATCCTTATGAGCTGCTTGGTGCTATCCTTGTGATAGTGAGTGAGTTCTCACGAAATCCGGTTGTTTAAAAATATGTGACACCTCCCCACGCGCCTTGCTCCTGCTCTTGCGGTGTGATGTGCCTGCTCACCCTTCACCTTATACCATGATTGTAAGCTTCCTGAGGCCTCACCAGAAGCAGTTGGGAGTACCATGCTCCCTGCAAAGCCTGCAGAACTGTTAGCCAATTAAACTTCTTTGCTTTCTAAATTACCCATTCTCAGGTATTCCTTTATAGCAATTCAAAAATGGGCTAATACACTAGTTGTGGGCATTATCTATAATGAAAACATACTTTTATTTCCCAATTATTTAAAATTTTTATTTAGAAATTGGCAAGTTAAAAGATGTGTTCATTTAACATTATACTGTTATTTTCCCAGTCCCTAGAAAGGCATTCAAGACATGGTATCTATTCATGAAGTATTTGGTTTTAAATAAGTGTGTTCGTGTATAATTAACAGCTTTCTCATTGAGAGACAATATTGAATTGAAGTTATAGATGGTGATTCAGGAGCCATAACTGTTTAGGTTCAAATTCTGACTCCTGTATTTAACAGCAGTGTGATCTTGGGCAAATGGCCTAACTTCTATGTGTTTCCATTCACTAATCTCTAAAACAAAGATAATAAAATCTCCCTCATAGATTTTTACGAAGGTTAAATTAAAGTACTTGGAACAATGCTTGTCTAATGCATAAACATTCAAAAATGTGAACAGTTATTCTTGCCTCATGAACCAGTAAAACACATTTTGTAAGAATGCAAGTGTAATCTTCCTTTAACATAATGTAATATAGAAAACTCTAAACATAAACCAATAAGGGAGGTTATGGGAATAGGATGGAGTGAGGGTAAGTTGCTCATTTATTTTACAAATAAATATTTATTGGCAATACCATGAGACTCAGGTTTTATTCAGTTGGAAAACACTTTTGGTGAGCATCTTTGGGTGCATTGTTTATATTCTTAGTAACATAATACAAGATTTGGAAGCGCCCTTACAATTCCTATTATCTTCTTTCATCTCCCAGAAATGTTAGATAGGTCCCACTCCACAGAAAAGCTACTATAATAAACTAGTCAATCAAAGAGTAAGCATGGATAGAGAAAACATAGTGTGCGAAACAATGTAACTTTGGATTGGGTACCCCTTATTTCTGAAAAATTAGAAGGAAGAGAGTTTTTGTAAAGACATCCTTTTCTCTCGCAGCTTCTGTCAGAATTTTAAGAGGGCAGGCAGAACTTTAAAACAAAGGAAATTGCTTGTTTTTGTGAAATTAACCAGTCTGTTATCAACAGGAAGGACAATATATGGATGCTAATCATTGTGAAGAAACTCATTACGGAATTTTCTCCAATAGGTAGGCAAAAGAGTTAAATATTTTGCTCTAAGATGAATATCCCAAATTGTGGAAGAAAGGGTGAAGTTAAGATTTAACAATTAATTATTCCTTGCTCTTTGGAATTTTGAGACTTATATATCTAAAGTTTTGTTGAGGTATAAATTACATATTATAAAACTTACCCCTATTAACTGTACAATTTGATAAGTTCTGACAAGTGTACACCATTATGTCGTTACCATTTCAGTCAAGTTTACAGACCATTCCTATCATCCCCCAAATATCCCTTCTGATCTTTGTAGATAATTTCCACCTCTCCCTGTCATTCCCTGGAAACTACTAATCCAATGTCTGTTCCTAATGTTTTGCGTTTTTGTGAATATTATATAATTGAACTCATACAACCATGTAGGTTTTATTCTTTTGATTGTCTAGTAGTATTTCATTATCTGGATACACCATAGTTTGTGTACCCATTTACCAGATATGGACCAGTGAGTTGTAACCAATGTTTGATGATTCTGAGAAATCACATATGGGTATTTGTGTGGACATATATTTATATTTACTTTCGGTGAATACCTCATAGCAGGATTGCTGGGTCATAAGGAAGTATATGTTGCACTTAATAAGAAACTGTCAAATTGCTTTCCAAAGTGGCTATACCATTTTGCACTATAACCAGAAATGTAATGCTGTTGCTCCACATCCATATCAGAGGTTGGTACTGTCAGATTTTTTTAAAAGGTATTGTAGTAGAAAGGCAGTGATGTCTCATTGTAGTTTCAATTAGCATTTCTCTAAAGACTATGTTGAGTGTCTTTTTTAACTTTCTTTTCTTCAATTTAAGTTTAGGGGTACATGTGCAGGATGTGCAGGTTTGTTACATAGGTAAAGGTGTGCCATGGTAGTTTGCTGCACAGATCATCACATCATCTATGTATTAAGCCCAGCACTCATAAGCTATTCTTCCTGATGCTCTCGCTTGTCCCCTTCTGACCCTCTAACAGGCCCCAGTGTGTGTGGTTCCCCTCATGTGCTTACCTGTTCTCATTATTCAGCTCCCATTTATAAGTATTTGGTTTTCTGTTCCTGCATTAGTTTGCTGAGGATAATGGCCTCCATCTCCATCTATGTCCTTGCAAAGGACATGATCTCATTTCTTTTTATGGCTGCATATTATTCTATGGTGTATAAGTAGCACATTGTCTTTATCCAGTCTATCATTGATGGATGTTTAGGTTGATTCAGTGTCTTCACTATTTTGAATAGTGCTGCAATGAACATACATGTGCATGTATCTTTATAATAGAATGATTCATATTCCTTTGTGTATATACCCAGTAATGGGATTGCTGGGTCAAATGGTATTTCTGACTATGGCTTTTGAGGAATTGCCATACTATCTTCCATAATGGGTGAATTAATTTACACTTCCACCAACAGTGTAAAAGCATTCCTCTTTCTCCATAACCTCACCAGCATCGGTTGTGTTTTGACTTTTTAGTAATAGCCATTCTGACAGGTGTAAGATGGTATCTCATTTTGGTTTTGATTTGCATTTCTCTAATGATCGGCGATGCTGAGGTTTTTTCCATATGTATTGGCTGCATGTCTTCTTTTGAGAAGTATCTGTTCATGTCCTTTGCCCATTTTTTTAATGGGTTGTTTGCTTTTTCTTGTAAGTTTGTTTAAGTTCCTTATAGATATTGGACATTAGATCTTTGTCAGATGGATACATTGCAAAAATTGATTCCCATTCAGTAGGTTGTTTGTTCACTCTGATGATAGTTTATTTTGTTGTGGAGAAGCTCTTTAGTTTCTTAAATCTCATTTATTTGTCAATTTTTGCTTTTGTTGAAATTGCTTTTTGTGTGTTTGTCATGAAATCTTTGCCTGTGCCGATGTCCTGAATGGTATTGCCTAGGTTTTCTTCTAGGGTTTTTATTGTTTTGGGTTTTACATGTAAGTCTTTAATCCATTTTGAGTAGATTTTTGTACAAGGTGTAAGGAAGGGGTCCAATTTCCATGTTCTGCATATAGCTAACCAGTTATCCCAGCACTATTTATTGAATGGGTAATCCTTTTCCCATTTCTTGTTTTTTTTGTCAGGTTTGTCAGAAATCAGATGTTTGTATGTGTGCAGTCTTATTTTGGGGTACACTATTGTGTTCCATTGGTCTATGTATCTGTTCTTGTACCAGTACCATGCTGTTTTGGTTACTATATCCTGTAGTATAGTTTGGAGTCAGGTAGCGTGATGCCTCCAGATTTGTTCTTTTTGCTTAGGATTGTCTTGGCTATTTGGGCTCATTTTTGGTTCCATATGAATTTTAAAATAGTTTTTTCTAATTCTGTGAAGTATGTCAATGGTAGTTTAATGGGAATAGCATTGAATCTGTAAATTACTTTGAGCAATGTGTGGCCATTTTCATGATATTGATTCAATGAGCATGAAATGTTTCTCTATTTGTTTGTGTCTTTTCTGATTTCTTTGAGCAGTAGGTTTTAGTTCTCCTTTTAGAGATCTTTCACTTCCCTGGTGAGCTGTATTCCTAGGTATTTTTTTCTTTTTGTGGCAATTTTGACTGGAATCTCATTCATGATTTGGCACTTGGCTTGCCTGTTGTTTATGTAAAGGAATGCTAGTGATTTTTGCACATTGATTTTGTATCCTAAGACTTTGCTAAAGTTGCTTACCAGCTTAAGAAGCTTGTGGGCTGAGATGATAGTGTTTTCTAGATATAGGATCATGTTTTCTGCAAACAAAGGTAGTTTGACTTCCTCTTTTCCTATTTGAATATGCTTTATTTCTTTCTCTTTCCTGATTGCCCTGGCGAGAACTTCCAACACTATGTTGAATATGAGTGGTGAGAGAGGTCATCCTTGTCTCATACCAGTTTTCAAAAAGAATGCTTCTAAGTTTTGCCCATTCAGTATAATAGTGGCTGCGGGTTTATCACATGTGGTTCTTATTATTTTGAGGTATGTTCCTTCGATATCTAGTTTATTGAGAGTTTTTAACATGAAAGGAAG